TGTGACTGTGTGGTCAAGACTCGGGGTCCTGACTCGTACTATGAGCGTGTTGTTTGCTCCCCGACCAGGGGTAGTATGAAGTAGCGGCTGGTACGGCAAAAGAGGCAGTCTAGGCGCGGAGGTTCGCGCCAGGAGCCAATCGATTGAAAGTGGCAGTGTTGCGCTGTGGCAAGTCAACTAGCGAGGAAATTCTCTACTAATTAAGGGCGCCTCGATAGGACCAATTATACACATGCTTCAGAAAGCAAAAACACGAGCGAACGAATAGTGGCGATCTAGTCCGACAGCAGTTATCGCCAGCGAGTGGTAGACAAATCTGTGAGACATCTGGGTTAACCAAAGAAGTTCTGCCATCGTTTTTGCGCTTCTTGCAGTCATGCCAACCAAGACTAGACTAAGAGTGTTTGATTTCTCTGCAAGGGTTCTCGTTCGTGTCAATGCTATGAAATTATTTTTCTAATTGGCCGGATTGGAAAGTAACTGAAAGGGATCTGGTATAGATATACCCGAGAACACTAAACAACCTTTCTACGCGGTTCTTCAACAATGACAAGACTCTGTCGTCGTTCATTCTCCTCTTCCATCATTGCTTCCATGAATTGCTTCTGCCGTTCCGTGTTCACCGTACCCCAGACAGATTTGAACAGATAGATGAAGATCTCGAGAAGAGTCACCTTAGTTCAAAATTTATTCAATACTCACTGGAAGTGGTTGTCATAAAGATCGCTTCACTAACTGTACTCATGCCGAGGAACAAGCCCATACTGCCAGCAATGTTTGACAGCAAATCGGCCGTCTGCAACTGCTTTTGTTGCTCATGACGCTCATAGGCAGTACTTCGAAGAAAGATGTTCATCATAGAAATGTTTTCTCTAAAATAGTTAGAAATAAGTTGGCATTAAAAGCCACTGAACGCTAGAGCAGGAGGAACGTCGCAAGCGGTGCTCTTATGCTTAGGGAGAAACGTAGGCATCCAAATAGTGGTATGGTAGTCTCTTCCGGCCAAGTTCTCGGCAATGAAGGGACAGAACACCACAGACCTTCTTCGCTTGGTTAAGTCAGTTGTGGATCGCCAGCGTCTTCGGACTTGAGTTAGGAGATCCACACTCCTACAAAGCAGCAAAAGGTATCAGATCGATGATTGCCCGAGGCACCCACAGTTGGAGACAACATCCTGTCAAACTCGCATCTGTCCACGTCTGATTGCCTGTTGCCTCAACTGCAACTCAACATTTCCACTTCTTCAGCTCAAAATTCCCTTCGTTAGATTACTCTTCCCTCTAGTATCTTTTTTTCAAAATCATGCGAGCAAAAATATGTCCCTTCTCGTTTGTTCGGAATTTCGGAGGGGTAGAAGAATAAAGTTTGCAAGATAAAGCTTTTCAAATTATGGCGTCCGTGTGGACTCCTTTGCTGCAATTTCTCTGCAGACACTTTTAGAGCACGTCGGTCTCATAATTGCCTACAGGAAATCTACAGGAAATAAGTTCGAACAAGATTGAACCCAGAGCAGCGCTTACCGAAAAAACGGTGGTAAAACCTAGAGTTGCCGGTCTCAAAACATTTCAACTTTCCCAAACATTGCGTCAGCTCCATTGTTCACATATAGCTGTTTTCGCTGTAGATGCAAGGGCTTCTGAGGGGACGAGGTTTGAAGTGCGAGAGTCCAACTATTGGTGGAGAACGGGCTGGCGCTGCACCAAACCGAGCCCCCCTCCCTTTCCGACACATCCCTACGTTTGCAGCGAAAGCGAAGGTAGCTAACACTGCAAGTTCTCCATCTTACGGGAAGGTGGAGATGGGCTGCGGACGTCGACCTACTTTCTGCGGGACGCGCTCCTGTCCTAAACACTCAGCGCCCTCACCACTGAAGCGAGAAACTTCACAGTCTGTGAGCCTCTCCACCTAATGTGAGGACTGTTCTGCACAGCTAATCGTGTAGTGAAATTATTGGAAATCGTAAACGAGCGAATCTGCTTATCAGATGTATTTTCGTGTGGTTTTGAGGGTATGAGGAACA